AAATGGTTAAAATTAAGTAGATCTATAAATTTATGAAAATCTTGAAAATAGACAGCGTATATAACATAATGTAAAATGCACTATTTTTAAAACTTAAAATCTTTTTATTTTTCAGAGTCATACATCTCGAGATGATCAATCAAAGGGATTATCAACATTAAAACTACCTTTTCCGTTGGATTTATGAGGGGCACCCGTAGTTATATAAACTTTTTCAATTCTTAAATAGCTTTTTTTTGACGGAGCAAACAATATACTCCCACGGGAGCACGGTCCTTCGCCCGAAAGAAAATGCTTTCCACTCCCCTCTTCTCTCTCTCTAGCTGGTCATTTGGAAACACCGGTCGATCGACTGCTCTCTCTCTCTCTCTCTCTCTCTCTCTCTCTCCATACATGGCTTCCATTATTCATTCCTGCAAAACGTCAGCTGAAACCCTAGAATGGGCCAAGGCCATTGCCCAATTTCTCAGAGCTTATCAATGCCTCCTCAACGCCCATGTCGTCAACTTTTTCCGGGTTAGGTTTCCTGCAATTCTTTGCAAGCCCTACTTTTATTCCCTAATTTTAACTTAACCCCACCTTCATCTTCTTGAATAATGATACTCTCTCTCTCTCTCTCTCCCCAGTACATTTCGGAACCCTGGCCCCATTACGCGATTCATTCAAACGCTAATTTCTCTCTCTAAAACTTCAGGATAAGCTATGGGAAACTCTGGATCAGCAGTGGTTGGATTGCCTGAGAGATGAGCCTGTGAGAAATTTGCTTTCCATTCCTTCTGGTACAGTTCAGGTGAGAACTCCATCTTTGGAATTACTTTTTTATTATCCGTTGGCTATTTATATTTTCCAAAGATTAGGAGTTTACTTCAATATTTGGAACACTTCATGTATAACTAATTTTAGAGTTAAGAGTTGGCATATCCATTAATTACTTGTATTTTTTCTGATGGTTCTAATTGCTTATTTTTTTTAGCAATGAAGAATTTACTCCCATATTCAGAAGTTATTAATATGAACTGTTTTAGTAATGGTAGCATTTGTCCTTTTTTTTTTTTTGTCCTTCTCTCTAGAATTCGAACGAGGGAAATTGATCAAAATGCATCTTAGACATGAACCATTTAACATTTTACTCATATCTTGTGATTTGATTTTAAAAATCCAATCAAAATGCAAATGGTCATGAGTTGGAATAAAATGGGTATATTTTGATAAATTTCCCATAGAACAATTTGTATTCTTTTGATTGGTTTAGTGATTGTAGTCTCAAATATGTTTGATGTTGGTGGGTACAGGCAATGGGGTAGTCCCATAAGCGCATTTTCAATGTCAATCAAAAATAGAAAATATTTATGCAGCTGTGTATGATCCTGGGATTCTGAAGGTTGTGTTGAGAAATTGATTGATAAGGCTGGAATAATGAAATACTGCATTTCCTTTTTCACGTCTGAGGTGAACTATTCCATTATCTCAAGCTCTTTTATTACTTTTCGGTTATTTTGACGGGCTTGTTATGAGTTTTAAGCTTTTAACACAATTGATAACAATGCCTTATACTGTGGAGATGCTTAGTTGCTGATCTAGAAGCTGCTGTAATTTAAGATCAAGAGAAGCATTGTATCTTGGTTGTATTGTGCTTCTTTCTTTGTGAATTGCAAATGATGTTTATGTTTTAGAAATATTTATCTTCTTGCTATTTTCAATAACTTTCTTCAGTGCCCCATTTTATTTTGAATTTAATAGATAGAAAACCTGTTTGGAGTATCTACCCTATAAGGTAGTCACTAGTTGAGGTGAGAGAATGGGGCAAAGTATCCTTGGCCTTTTATTGGATTTTGAGTTAAAAGGAGGAATAGATTATTATTTTTCTACTTATAAGTTTTCAATTGTTGGGGTCGGGAGGAATGGTCTTAGAAAGATTCCTATAGTGTATACCGTAGTTTTCTTCATCACTTTTAAACGCATGCTTTTTCCATCCTAATATGAATTATTTTGTTCAAAGTTTGATGAACTGATAGCTTAGTCAAGTTAAAAATATGTATAAGGTGAACTTTTTCTTTGTTTCGTGGTTTCTTTCTTTGATAATAAATTATGCCAGTTACTCACTTGTATGTCATTTTATGTCAGGATAATTGGCCTTGCTCATTGAAGGAATTTATTAATACTGCAAGATCTCTTTCCTTTCCAAAAGAGGGGGAATCATTGGAAATGGTATGTTTTCACCTTACTGTGACTTTAATTTCCATCAAACATTGAGTATGATAGGTTTGCAGAAACCAATGATATTTTGAATATGCTTTCTAGCAATTTATATCGGAAACATACATGTTTCATATTTAATATATGTGCAAAAATTTTAGAAAGAAAATAGGATACAAGATTAAGGGATGTTTTTCTATGAGGTTCTGATCTAAATGCTGATGATTAACATATCCTATTTTATTTTTCTCAAAAAAAAAGAGTCTTATTTTATCACAAATATAATATCTGGCCGATGATCCTATTTTAACATGTCTTATTTTATCACAAATATAATATCTGTTATATTAAAATATAATGTCTGTGAAATTGCTTTCGTTCTTCTAATAAGTGAAATGAATTTCACTTTTTAGAAATACATTTTAACAAGTGTTGCAATTGGTATTATTACTTACAAATGCATGCTTTGATACATGTGCCACTTGGCAATGCTATCCTTGAATGGTGCATGATGCCCTGGGGGCCTCTAGTCAGCTTAAGGAGTTATTTTAGGGAAATCTAGGGAGCTGGTAAGGAATTTTCTCTCATGTTGGATACGGAATTGAAGAGTTATTTAATCATTCTAGAAAAAGTAGTCATTACCATTTTCTTGTGACTGGTCTGTCTTGTATGTATCTTTACTTCATGTATGCGATATCTTTGTTTCTTCATAAATGGTCTAAAGCCTTGATGAGGTTTCCTAACACAGTCTTGTATACCCCAAACCACCAAGTGGCAATTACATATAGATGCTTCCTTTTTACAGAAGGCTGATAGTGATGCTTCCTTTAACATAGGAAATTAGCTCAAGAGGAAGTATTCTTTCCCTCTCTTGGTACTAATAAGAGGATTTTCAATTCTTTCCTGCTTGAAGCCTATTTTCACTAACAAAGCAGTCAAATTAGATACAATCCGGGTTCTCTTCTTTGACTGACAGTGTATGTTTTTATTTGATGCAGATATTTCCTGGTGTTCGAGTGGAACCAGTCAGCAATGTTCTTGCTCAGGGCATGAACCTGAAGAAAAAGCATGAAGTAGGTTTTCGTGTCTTTCCATAGTTAAATTGAAGTACATTTTTGAATCATTGAATTTAGTTTTTACTTCCCTTATTTTCTCACATAGTATGATGTCATGTTTTTTATTTAGTTGGCCGTCAAGAGTTTGAGTCATGGACTGTGATTAATTTATTAATCAACTGTGAAGTGGTTATCGTTCATAAGTATGTAGTTGGTCCTTGGCTTTTGTATTTTCTTCAAGAGATAACTTTTTCTTTTACACCAGGTGGAAATTCTGGCTGCGACTGTTGGCAGGGTTGCCAGTAGTGTTGGAGCACACACTATAATCGATGTTGGAGCTGGTCAAGTATGCCTTTTTTCGTTATATTTGTAGTGATCCTGTTCTGCTATCTTCTTGCTCGTTCTTCCTTTTTTAACCCTTTTTTGTCTAGCTAAGTTCGAATAACCAGGAAATATTACCTTTTCCTGCCAGATTTTCATGTAGGTCTTTAAAAATCTGATGGACTGTTGACTGTCATGACCTTTTGAGGAAATGGTCGATGGTGATGGAGAAAGAGTAGGACCTACTATTAGGCTTATGTCTTGTTTCTGATGGCAATCACTCTCTCTTTGTCAATGTCCATTATTTCACTGGACAATGATGTCCCCAATGGACCATGGTTTTTTATAACCCATTGTATTATAATTTTTTTCACATTTTTGGTTGGTTGATCTAGAAAGTTCGATGTGTAATATATGGGTGCCTGTTTTTTCAATTGATGTTCTTGTTGATGTGTTTCTAGGGTTATCTTGCACAAGTTCTATCATTCCAGTATCAGCTATCTGTGTATGCCCTAGATGCTTCTGCTCACCATGCAAGTGTTACTAGTGAGAGGGCTGAGCGCATCAAGAAGTATTATACAACAAAATCAAGGAAAACAATGTATGAAAAACTCAAAATTTTCTATACGTCGGAGTTCTCTCCTTTTAACTCTTAGTTTGTCCTAAATAGATGTTCCTAGTTTCCTTATATGATTGGAAAAATAAGAGGATGGTATCTTCTACCTAGAAGCTTGCATTGATGAGGCTTTGGACCAGGAACTTGAAACACCTGAACAGTGATTGGACCCATTTGATTTCTATTTATTGTTTTTTTTTAATGCCTATTTAATCTCTGGGTCCAGGTACTGTCTTGATATGTCAAATTTCTGGATCATCTATATGATCTATGCAGATGTTCCAGGCACTTCCTGATACTTTCCCGATATAATTTGTCACCTAATTTACCCATATTTCTATGTTGTCAGAGCAGGAAATGAGCATTTTATGATTCCTAAGACAATCACTTGTAATATTCCATCTAGTGGTGCACTGACAGCCTTGAGTGATATGTCATTACTTAAGAATAGCATCAAGGAATCACAGGAGAGTAGCAAGCTTTTAGGAGCACTTTCCATTGAAGATTTGGAAAGCAAGGAGGAAAAGGTTAGCAGACCTTTATCATTTGATGGCAAGTCTGTCAAGTCATCATTGGTTCTTGCAGGGCTTCATGCTTGTGGAGATCTATCTGCAAACATGCTCAGGTCCGTACTTATTAAGGTTCATAGATGTGACTTTTCATCTATCAAAAATATATTGTGGATTTGGTAGCTTATTTTTACAAAAACTTACTATCTAAACCAAAAAAAAGAAAAAAAATAAACAATAAAAAATCTAAAAAATATTTTTAATTGAGAAAATGAGAAAATATCCTGATTTTGAGAGTAATTTGATAGAATTTTTAAAATTTAATTCGGAAGACCTGAAGCACTGAAAGTATACTGTAGTCTAACGGACTATTGAACACCTTAGTCCATTTTGGTCATGGCCATTTGATGAAACTATGGAGTATGATGAAGATTCACTGGGAACCAGCATTGCGGCCATGTCCAGTTCTGGTGGAACTTTGGTTTTTCATTACCATCTATCATTTTGTCACATGGTCCTGATCCCAATGAACTTTTGCTTGCCATTCCTTTGGACGATAATATTGTCTCCTTTTCTTTTGGGTGCTTATGAATTTTGTTGTCACTGATGTTTAGGAGGTGAATTTTGTTTTAGCTTTCATACGTTTAATTGCTGTCTTTGCTATAACTAAAATTAGGGTATATTTTATTGGCTGCAGGACCTTTGTAGAATCTGATGACATGAAAGCACTAATCAGTATAGGCTGTTGTTACAATTTGTTATCTGAAGATTGCTCTGAGAGTGTTGCAAGCCAATATGGTTGTCCAATGAGTAATGGTGTTAAGTCTGTTGGACTAAAGCTAGGCAGAAATGCACGAGATCTTGCTTGTCAGGTATGCTCAATTAAGTTTAGCAGAAACCTCTTAATTCATGAGCGTGTATCTTTAAGTGATCACTGCTGACCTTGATATTCTCAGAGTGCAGAGAGATGGCGAAGTCTGAGAGATGATGCAGCCCTTCAGAATTTTGATTTACATGCATTTCGTGCTGCTTTCCAGATGGTGAGATGAATATCTTCACCAAATGCATTGTGGTACTTTTTCAAATTCATTTGCTTAGTGATTGAATTTCTTGGCTGACGTGATTTTCATTCTTCAATTTCGTTCGGTGTTTGTCAACATGGAAATGGTTTTTGTAACTGTATGTAGTTGTTAGATGCTACCATATGCATTGCATAGCATTCTTAAAAGGGAAAACATTGAGACAAATTATTGCATGAGTTTGTAGATATAAATGATAGGCTTTGGTTTAGTGGTGGACATCGCCTTTGAGCTGAGGAAGGTTAAGGGTTCATCCTTCAAGTTTGCCCCAGAAAACCAAACAAGCTGATGTACCCTTTTTTAGGATTCAGACATGGGTTTTGATTGGTTAAGGTTTTAAAGACTACGTCTTGAAGTTTGGAGTTCGAATCCTACTGCTGAACTGCCCTAAAAGACAAAGATACAAACATAAATTAATAAAAATGTTAAAAATGAGCCAACTGGAATCAACTGAATGATAAATGATTGAAAAGAAAAGGAAAAAAATGCTGAAAAAGGAAAAAAATGAAAACTGGCAGAAAAATGAAGAACATAGGAAAAAATTGCAAAAAACTAAATGTACTATAGAAGAGGAGAGAAACTTTAATTAGCAATGGAACTGGTTAAGTGACATCCTTCAATCTCGCCATTAAGAGCTAAGTACCTTTTTACCAAACCGAGAATGCATACTGGTCAATTGATTATCTCATATACTGTGGTGGGATATTTTTAAGCAAGGAGGGAGGGAGACCACCATTGTAAGTACTTAGGGGTTGGTTGCAACTCTAGAATTTCTTTTTCTGCATGGGTAGATCACAACTCAACAATTTGGTCTTTGTGTGTCTATCACAACACTATAATTTTTCAGAGTTAAAGGGAGTGGCTCCTTTGTAGGATAAGATTAGGTCTACAGGGGTCCTTTGGCTTGCAATTGTAAGGAATTTGTAGGTTGGTCTGTCTCTGGATTCCTTTCAGATTACCAGGCTATGAGTATTGTCATGTCAAATCTTTTGTTGGCTCCGTCACCATGGGTCATTGAACTAATTTTTGACGTTTGCTCCGTAGGCAACCTGGGCCTATCCAGAGTGTGTGTTATCTTTAGAAACAACTTGGGAGATTGTTTGCTTTCTTATTTAGAGTTCATTGGAGTAACAGATTCCACCAAGGCAGAGGTGATGACCTGTTGAAGGGTTTTAAATTTTTCGATACATTCTTGGGCCTGTCCATTGAGGTGGAAGGTGATCTGAAGAATGTGATTAATTGGAAGTCACTAAAGGACGAATTTCTGTGGTACCTGTTAAGTTTTCGGATAAAGGTGCTATTCTGGAACCTAATCTCCTACAAGCATTCCTGGCTCTAGTGGTAATACGTTTATACTTAGGAGACCTACACCCTAACCAAGACGTCCCATTTTCCTTTTTTTCTATGATGTAAAAACCTTCGCTCTTTCTTTCTTTCTTTAATTGTTTTGGGCCCCTTATTGGGCATTGGTTCTACTACGTGTAATTCTGTATCGACCTATACTATAAGGAAAATTGTTTCATTCAGGCTGGACTGCATTTCTACAATATGCGGTCCAGAGGTATAAAGCATCTATCTTAAAGATGGATGCAAATAGGTGGTCCATCTAAAAACAAGTATAACTAACGGTCCAAATGTTTTCTTAATATAATTATTATTTATTTATTTATTTATTCATATTCATGATCTCCATGTTAAAGATTATATATTATCTAAATATTACGATCAAATTATATTTAAGAAATATATTTATTGAGAAGCCCGCATTCTACAATATGCGGGCTGACCGCATAGAAACCGTTTCCATACTACAAATTCTAAAGTTACTTTATTTTCAAAGGAAGGAAGGAGGGAGGGAGGGAGCGAGGCAAGGAGAGGGAGGGCGAGGGGGGGGGGGGGGGAAGAGAGAGAATCGTTGTCTAAGTTTGAGGGAGGGAGGGCACTGTTGGTTGAGTTTGTTTTGGTAAAACTTGAATCAATTCGAAACTCTTCCTGATAGAGAGAGAGAGAGAATCGTTGTCTGAGTTTGAGGGAGGGAGCTGTTGTTTGAGTTTGTTTTGGTAAAACCTGAATGATTCCAAAACTCTGAAAGGGCCGGAACGAGTCAACACAGTGCTTCTTGAGTGGAACTGCTAAGTTGGCTTGAAAAAAATCCCTGGAAAATTAAGAAAGTTTGTGAAAATTGAAAAAAAAAGAAGAAGAGAAAATTTGATTTTTTTTTGGCTTATTCTCATTGAAATTATTTCATAATCCAGTGTAACACTAAATGATACTATAATCTCTAATTTTCTACTGCAAATTTAAACCAGTCTAATCAATTTCCAATTCCCTCTTCATGGAAGGTGTAATGGATATGAGGTATATGAATATATTTGCTAGGAAGGTGTAAATTATTGCAGGAGAGTTCAAATTTTGAAAAATCGCCATAGCTTGAAAAATTCCTAAGCAGATGGCACTTTCAAAGCAACTTATCATCATCAAAGCCTTTTCCCAATTAATTGGGGTCGACTATACAAATCTTGGTTTGCCATTTTGCTCTATTAAGGGCCATACCCTTAGTGAGGCTATAAGTTCCGCTATCTTTTCCCACTACTTCCAACTTTATCATTTTGGGCCTACCTTTTGCCTTTTTTGAGCCTTCTACTTGAACTAACTTGCACGTCTTAACAGGTGCTGTATTGGGTCTGTGCCACACATGGCCACCCAACCTAAGTCTACTTACTTTTATCTTATCGCCTATTGGTGCCATACCTAGATTCTCCTGAATGTATTTATTTTGGATTCTATCCTTTCTTGTCTTTCCACTCATCCATCTCAACATCCTTTGCTCAGATACACTCATTCTTTGGGTATGTTGTTTCTTGACTGCCAAACATTCTACCCCATAAAATAAAGCTAGTCTCACAATTGTCTTATGGAACTTGCCCTTGAGCTTCATTGGTATGCGGTGATCACATAAAACTCCAGTTGCACATCTCCACTTCGCCCACCCAACTCTATTTCTATATGCGACATCTTCTTCAATCTCTCCATTATCCAGGATTATCAACTTAAGATATCAAAAGTGTGCTCTTTTTGGTATTTTTTGGCCATGAATCTTAACTACCTCTTTGTCTCTACTCCTACTATTACTAAACTTGCATTTCATATACTATGTCTTAGTCTGGCTAACTTAAAACCTTCAGATTCTAGAGCATCCCTCCAAAGATCTAACTTTGTGGTGATGACGTTTCGGGTCTCATCAATCAAAACTATGTCATCCGTGAACAACATACACCATGATACCTCATCTTGCAGGTGTATGGTTAAGTTGTCCATAACTAAGATAAAGACGTATGGGCTCAATGCTGACCCCTGATGTAGACCTATTGTCACTAAAAAATCACTCGTCTCTGCACTAGTTGTTCGTACACTAATTAGCGTGAGAAGATAGAAGATAAAATAGTCAAATGAGAGTACAATCATATAGACTAGTTATAGTGCAATACTGATTTTGCATTCAAGTTCTTGCAACTTGGACCAAAATTCTCCTTGTACATCCATATAAAAGCAAGAAGCTAAAAGAACAAAGTGCACAAAATAGGGTACAAATTTTCAATTTACACAAAAGCTGAAGACCATCACTGGTCCACATTGTAAGCAAAAGTTTACCATTTTTAGAGCTTTGATTTGGGCGTCTTCATCTTGCTTCAATCTTTCAATGCAGTACTTCACCTTTCCATGGTATCAGGGTATTCACTCTGACCTGTTTGATGGTGATATGCTGGGTTAAAAATTCTTAACACATTGATAATATCTATGATTGGGTCAAGTAAGCCATAACCCACAAGGAAAATGTATCATAAATTGAGTTGTAGATATGATCATATGAATCGATACTTGAAACTGAAAGTTACCTGCTACATGGATATGGCAGTGCAGTGTGTTAGCCCACTTCTCATCAATGGTTTTCCAAAGTTTGTTATGGAAGTTGCAATTGGCTTCTATAGCCTGCTTTGCATGGTCCAGTAACTTATACGGCAATCCTATGGCAGGCTCAAATTTGAATGAATCAACTTTAGGACTGCTAGAAGTGGCCTAGTGTTAGCAAGAATGTGCTTGCACTTATTTTGAAACCTGCGACTAGTTTAATGGTTTTCTTGACTCATCTTTGCATGTTAACTCCTTGAGATTGGTGCATATATCAATGCCTCTAATGACACCATCTTCTTCAATCCCAGTTGCGATTTGAGGATTGACTCTATAGCCAAGTAGGGTGTGCCAAATCTAGTGATGCTGGGCCTTGTGGGCTCCTTTTCACGCCTCTCAAATTTATAAAATTTGACTTCTTACCTCGCCCTCTCCCCCCAAAAAAAAACAAAAAACTGCTTTATTCGATCGAAAGATCATGCAAAAACGACCTTACACACGATTTTGAGCTCAATTGGAGAGTGATTACAGAGAAATGAGAAAAAAGCGGGTTGGATTTTTGCACCCCTTTTATTTCTTAAGAAAGTTACAAACTTGGCAAGTTCTGACAAAATCAGGTGATTACTACAGTAACTTGTTGCAGTTCATGAACGGTAACTTGCCCCCAAGTAGAGGGGGTGGCATTGGTTCCTGGATCGGCAGGGTGCTTAGCCCATTTGGTTCGGTCAAGTCCGAGTAGACTGGACAAAGTTTTTTATCATTGTTCTGAATTAAGAGTCGAAAAATGCTTTTCTTCTCCTCTAGATCAATCATACACTATCTATGTTATATTAGATGTATTATAATTAGGTGGCTTATTGGTTGATGTTGAGTTTTCTATGCAAGTGGTTGGTAATTTGTCTTCATTGTCTTTGAAACTGGAATTCTCACTGTACAAACACACAAAAAATTACACATTCAGTTTAAAACTGCAGAGAGTCTATGTTTCCCATATAGAAAAATTCACTCAAACTTCAAAATCGCTTTACTGTGAATCAAAGATGGGGACTCCTCAACAATTGGTACTCAAGCTGTTGCTAATTCTAAATGCCAACAGATTTGTGAAGTTGGGTTTTATTATCTGGAGTATACATCTGCGGTTTTTTCTTAAACATTCATTTAATATTTCTGGAATATCTATAAGGGTAATGCATTTTGCATGATTTCTAAACTTTTGTTGACCTTTTTGTTGCAGATTGTACATGATTATTATCCTGAGCTTGTGGATATGAACCCTTCGATAGGCAGACAAGGGAAAGCATTGCGCCGTCGCCAATTAAGAAAAGCCCTCCATTCTGAACTTATTGCAAAGGACAATAGTGCTTTTCCCTCTCCTTCCTTCAATAAAATCAGTGAAAGCTTCGAATCTTCCAAAGCATTTGTAGCTGGTGAAGTTCGAACCTCTGAACTCCCCAATCTTTCAGAGATGGAAGGTTGGTGTTTTCTTATTATGAGCTTATAGTTTACTGCGTATAAATGTGGGGACCTTCACTTTATGGATTGTTAAAAAATTAAACCATTATTACAATAAAAAATTGAGCTATTGTTAATCATTTTTTGTCAAATGTTCATAGGGAATATAGACCGATACGAAGGAAAAAACGGGGTCGATACTTACGTATTTCGTCTTGCTAATTTGGATTGTCAATCTACAGAGAGGATTTCAAAATCTGGAGAAAGAAAAGAAAGAACCCTTTCTTATCGAAGTTTCGAGAAATCTGCCCTCTTTGAAGAATTCAGCAGGTCGGGACTAGATCGTCTTGGGATTGGGCCCAAGGATGACATAGATTTCCTCTGTGTATGGGAAAAGGCTGTACCTTATGCTGTAAGTTTGTGCTGCTTGTTTACTCTACTCATCACTCTAAATTCTTCTATGTTGTTTTGACTGGACATTAGTTTCTTGGGGGAAAAAATGGGACCCTCACTGATAATCATTTGGAATTGTTGCCCATTGTCCTATCACGGACAGTGTATCCCTGAATTGTGTTTGTGTGTGTGTGTGAGAGAGAGAGAGAGAGAGAGAGAGACTGATATGTTCCACTCGTGCAGGAACTTATTGGGCCGTATTGGTCACTCCGGGCTTTGATGGGGCCGCTGGTTGAGACTTTTCTTCTGCTGGACAGGCTGTTGTTCCTCCAGGAGCAAGGAAGAAGTTCAATACAAGCAATTATGCTTCCACTGTTTGATCCAGTTTTGTCACCTAGGAACACGGCCATCATTGCATGGAAAGTTGCACAATAAGATTGAGTCAAGTCTCGTCTCTCTTACCAGCCCGATAGAAGAATCACAATTGTCCTTAAATTTTTGAGAAGTTCAAGAAATGGAGTACCATGTTATGTAGTTCACTTTGATGACACTGGCTCATGGTGTCGAAATTGTTGATTATAAGTATCTGAAATCTTTGAAATCTCTCTCTCACGTACACACACATGCGCATGCTGTGTGCCACCACACACACATACTCGGGATGACATGTTTGGATCCTACTTTTGAAATTTTAAGAGAATGTAGCATCTGAGCATTACAATTTTGATGAAATATGTACTCTCCCTCTTTCGTTACAATTTTGATGAAACATGTACTCTCTCCCTCTCGGGATTATCCATAAAGAGACCATTTATGTTTTGTACATAGAGGTCACAATCATTATTGTCTTTTAAATTTCAAAATAGGTGATTGTAAGAGTGTCATTGAATAGACAATTAAAAAAAAAAAAATCTCATATTTCGTAACTTATCTTTAGCTATCCAATTTTTCATTTAATGAGTGAAAATAGTTGTGACCTACCCCCCCTCTCACTTATGTGGATGCACAGTTCATCACTGCTGAACTTGCACATCAGTCTTTCAGGTTGTAGTGAGTTGTACAAATGACTGCCCATCTACCAAGATGGGATAAACGACCAAAATAATTTTGCATGATAAAGGGTCTAAATTAATTTTTTATGTATACAACATACAATTTATTGGCTGGGGCACAGGTCATTTCGTTATGCATCTCTCTCTCTATTGGCTGAGGTGTAAGGCATTTGATTCTTTCCCCACCTCTCTCTCTCTCTTGGCTGTGGTACGAGACATTTGGTTCTCTCTCTCTCTATCTATCAACCTCTCTGGGCAGCATCTTGGAGAGGTTCCTCAGTCAAGATTTGGTTCTTCCAAATTTGGTAAGCAGTCCATTTCTGTCCAGCCAGGTTCTTGCAAAACCTTATACAGTATAAACTTTATTATTTTCTAATGGTTCTTGAGCTTTTTCTTCACCATCAAAATCAAATCGATTCGTTTTTCCTGCATTATTTCCTTTGTATTTAATTGTAGCGTCCAATACAATTGTTTGGGCGGATTCAATTGTTTGGGTGGAGGTCGGCACCTCAAAACAAAACCCTGATGTAATTTTGAGGTCAAAAACCTCTTCGGGAGGAAACTTATGAATTTATTGTCCTGACTTCAAAATATAGATCTAAAAGAATAGATTTTAAAATTGGTATATTTTTTTATCTGGATTGGTTATCGTTAAGTGATTTTAATTCACCACATTTGCACCGACAAAAGGAGTTATCGACATTGGAATGTATTTTTTGGCAAGGTTTAGAGACACGCTTATACTCGGTGCGTGTTTACTATGCTCCCTTGGGTGGAAAAGTCTATTCGGACAGATTTTTTGGATCTGAAAATCTGGGAGGAAGGATTTGACCTTTTTTTTCCTTTTTTTTTTAAATTTTTTGGAATTGCTCTCCAAGTTGTAGAGGATATATCCCCAAAATTTTCCTTAGATTTTCCCTTGGCATAGTTTTGGCCTAAGGGAGCGAATGGGCCCTTTGCTCCTGTGGGAGCATAAAATCATGTTGCTTTACCTTTTAAGGTATAAAGCCCATGCCTGAGAATGCTAATTGCGTGGCATTGTATATAGTGAGAACATTTGTTTTTGATACAAAGAGGTTACAATTATTTACAATAATTTTATGTGAAATCTGATAGCTTTGGTATGTCTTAAAGTTTTAAAAAAATTCTTTTCAAGTTTAAACTTGGTCAATAAAATTAATGTAACCATCTAATTTCACATCCAGTAGTCAAGATTAATTGTGACCACTATGTACCAAAGGTAAATGTTCTCATTGTATACTTTTCCTAATTGTGTGGGGGCCTTTTTTTCGAAATAGTAAAAAATCGAGTAGCAGTGGTAAAGATTGGTAAGTTATATGTGTTACTTGTGAATTGCATTATGTCTTCCCATATACACATTAGTTATATGTGAAAGACATTTGGATTTGAATAATCGTTAGGCACCCCAATAAAAAGTAGCCTGGTGGGCATTTGTGAGGCCTTAATGTTTTGGGCTTGATGGAAGTTTTCAGCATCCTTAAGCCATCCCACCAAAAATTGAATGTCATTAACGGCTGTTAGATGTACAATTGGGTGGCTGGAGTTGTGTCATTGACTGGGTACAATCTCCAAAATAAAATTCTCGAACCATGTGACATAATTTAAGCTATCGGATTTTGCATCTTGTACAAAAAATAAATAGTCTTATAATATACAATCCCATAATTAATACATGCGTGAAAAGATCTATAAAACTTTTCCATTTAGTTTAAGACTTAGTTTTTATGAGTCCTTGTAGAGATGAGTCACCTCTTAAAAATCCATTTTTGAGATGGATTTTTGGACTTAATTTTTAAGGACATGTAATCTCTAAAATAAAGATCATGAATATGAAAATAAATAAAAATAATAATTTTATTAAAAAAATATTTAGACAATTAATTTAAATTGGTTATAGATGGACCACCTATTTGCTTCTTAAGATGGATGCATTATACCTCGGGGACCGCAAATGTAGAAATGCGGTCCCGCCCCATGAAACAATTTTCCTTTAATCTATGGATCATCATCAACCACGAATACCCCATATATTCCAAGCTATTTCATAAAACTCCTCCAAAAGGTGGCCTATGAGTATTCACACTAGAGATAGAGAAAGACCTGATCCACGATTTGGCTTGTGGTTTGGTGAGCTGACTCTTAGTTAGCAAGTGGTACTACTTTTATTCGAATCAAATCATGCTATACAAAAAAGCAATCTAAATAAATTAAATAGAATCTTTGCTAATGTTTAGCAATTTAAAATGATTTCCCACTCCCAGAGGAGCATACTATCAACTTGCTCCTTCAAGCAAAAGTTATGCCAAGAGCATCTTGGGAACTCAAATTTTTGGGATGTAACCTCTACATCCTAGGGACCAACCCTAAATTAAAAAAATAAAATAAAAAAATAAAATAGAAAAATGGAGAGAGATATAGAGAGAGAAGAAAAAAAAATCAAATAGCACATTGTTTGTGCCTCTGAAAAAATTAATTGAATAGGAACCATCCAATTCTTGGAGGGCAAAATATAAGTGTGGAATAACTCAAGATCCAACTTTTTGTTTTTTTGAAAAATAATGACTCGGTGATTCTTAAATGGATGGAATGAAAATTCCTCTTAAGTAGCTCATGTAGCCTAAGGATTTAGTATAAGTATGCTCCTTGGCAACTATTTAGGTAAAGTAAAGGAAAATTGTCTGATACGGCTGCAACTGTATCAAAATAAATAAAGCCTCACCTAATAACTCATCGAAAATTGCAATTCAACCATTGGGAAATCTTTACATCAATCATCTCGACTTGAACATTATGATTGTAAAAAAAATTAAGATTTCAAACTCTAAAAATGTGTATATTTTAAACAAATTATCTGGACTGTCCATTTTGTTTTAAAAACAAGGGTTAAAAGATTCGCAATATCTGTACGTTTTTTGAGTTTCAAATCCTATTCAAATCCTATCGCCAGTATTGAAAATTGATTTTAGAGCTATCATAGAGATTTCCGTTGCCGAAATTGCTTTCCAAGCGAGGATTTGAGGTGAGGCTTTATTTGGTTTTCAGGAAGCCTAGGCGTTATAGAAACTCCATGCTTAAGTAAAGCGTAGGAGAATCCTTGTTATCTATTATAAAAGCAATTTGCAAAAAGATTATTTTAAGTTCGAACAAAGTTGACTTAGAAACCTAATCGAGGTCTTTATTAAAGTAGAGTCCTAGGTGCTAATCTTTTGGATTAGATCCCAACTTTAGTGATTACGACTAATCTTGTCGTAAGTGCGATGATTTGAGGTTGGTAGGAATGACGCTAAGATCACGTAACCATTTGAAATGACTAAAGTGCCCCTAATTTCTCGTAAATATTACTAATTTTTTGTTAGCCTACGGGGATGTAAAAAAGTTTAAGCCCGACGGTCCAGATTGAAATAGAGCTGAAAGGCAAAATTTGTGTTCGGAATTTTCCTGAAAACGTAAAGGGCCGCAAATTCTGTACACATGGAAGTCTCATTTAAGTATTTACAGTAGGGTAAGAAGAATTGGATACACACAAGAAATAAAGGGTGAAATATGTCAATAATTCTCAACCAACCAAATCATCCTTTCTCCTTCAATATCGCCCATCTGGCTTTATTGTTCTATATGGGGTTCCGGGCAATGGGCTTAGGCGGCCCAGTCCGCCCGGTCAGTCAGACACTGAAAAATTGGGGCCTGAGCTATAAAATGTGGTTTGAGTGCTGGGCCGGGCCAGGCATACCCGTCCTGGAAAATTTTGCAGGGCCCTTTCACTTTAATTTCCCTAGAATATAGAAAGGGAGGCAAATTTTTAATGAATCAAGTAATTCACACACGCCATCGGCCTTGTCAGTGCATTAGGGGAGAGAGAGAGAGTTTATTATTTGATGGGTTAACTTAGCAACAAGAGAGAGTAGTTGGTAGGCTAAGTTAGCAAACCTAATTATGTGGACTGGTATGTGTATGTTGGACCTACGTTCCATGTTTCCAAGAAAGGCACCACCTACGAAAACTGATATATAAATTTCTTATATAAGACAAGGCCTCGTGAGACTTTGTCATTGTCAAATAAATATTTCAAGATCTAAGATAGCAAAAGATTGACGAATTCAATTGCTGAGGAATTTATGAAGCAGAATATAGTATATTCCTATGGAGAGAGAGAGAGATGATTGCTTGAAGCAGTGTTCGAAAAATCGAATCGGGTTGGGAAACCAGCCGAGGGCCCGTATTGAGTAACCGGCAACCGTCTTAACCGGGCAAGTCTCGGCTCGTCAGAAAAATACTCTCACGATCCCGCCCCCTACTGGCCCTGTTCGGTCCACAAAGGCCAGTGCTCAGCCTGCAGTGCATGGGATCGGATGCGGTGGTCGAATCAAAGCCGGTATCAAACAAGCGCTCAACAACTCCTAAAAGAATTCTAATAACCGCTCATCCAAAAAAGTTTAAGCATTAGTAGGAAACGATTCAGGATTGTAAACAGAATCAACGATTGGAAAAGTTATGGACCTTACAAATACTAAAAAAAATAAAAAATACAAAAAAATCTAAAAAAAATATGAAAAATATATTTAAAGCATGATTAAGCAAAACGCATCCAAATGAAGATGAAAAAATATAAAAAAGAAGTATTAATAGCCAAAACACTTTTAAACATTTAAAAAACATTGAAAAACATAATACAAATAAATCCTTTATTTATATTAATTTTTTTTAAAAATAGTTAGCCCGATCATCAGAACCGGCCGACCACCGCTTCTGATCTAACTGAGTGGTTACGATTTTACAAACACTATTTTGGAGGACACCGTTTTAACGACACCGTTTTAACGAAGAGAGAGAGAGAAGCTTGCTGGGAACACAGTTTTTTAACGTAACTAGGGGATTAAAAACGTGGGAACTTGACCAAATCTATGTGAGTGCTGGTGTTTATGTGTGGATTATGGGTGCCCCTTAAAGAGAGAAAGGAGAGAGAGAGAGAGAGTTAGGCAGATTGGTGTTTGACGCAAAAAGTTTGGGAGTAATGCATGGGGCAGTAAAGAAATGACGTAACATTATATGGCTTATCATCACTCCCTCCCTCAACCAAAAACACCATAAATAAATACATAACTAGTTTTTTTTTTTCTCTCTCTCTCTAGCTTTCTCCCCTTTTTGAATGCTCTCTATTTCTCTCTCTAATTCTCACCGGTGTATAGCACTTTCAAAGTTGGCATATTGGTTTTCCCACACGGTTTGGGTGCTTCATTGTTCACGTATCTTTAGAGAGAGAAAGAGAGAAGTCTAGTTTTGAGAGAGAGAGTTTAGTGTTCATTAGTACTAGTAGAGAGAGAAATTCACCTTTTGTTTCATTTAGAGAGAGAGTGCATTCAATATGTTTCATTTTTGTGAGAGAGAGAGAGGAGTCTAGTATTGAGAGGGAGTATAGTCTTCAATATTATAAGAACTAGAGAGAGAGAGAGAGAGATTCAGCTTTTGTTTCATTTAGAGAGAGAGGAGTCTAGTATTGAGAGGGAGTATAGTCTTCAATATTGTATCTAGCATTGAGAGGGAGTATAGTCTTCAATATTATAAGAACTAGAGAGAGAGAGAGATTCAGCTTTTGTTTCATTTAGAGAGAGAGAGAGATCGTATTCAATATGTTTCATTTTTTCCAAAATGTTGGTGGGTGGTTTGAGATTTGAGGAGTAAAAAAATAATGATCAGCGTGCCGGAATTTCAACCGTCCACGTCACCATGAAAGGTGTGGGGTTTCGGCGGTATGTGGTGATGCAACGTCGTCATGACACGTAGATTGACAAGAGAAGCCCCCTCATTCTCTCTCTTCTTAAGTTGACTTTATCAATGGGATTATGTGTATATATATCCCCCTTTCCAATCTCTTTTTCTTTCTCTCTTTCTCTCTCCAAGCATTCTTCCCCCCCCCCCCCCTTAACTTTCTACTCTCCATTTCTAGAGCCTCTCTCCATTCTTCATCTCTTTCTCTCTCATCAAGCATTCTTTCTCTCCCCCTCTTTCATCAATCTCTCTCTCTCTCTCTCTCTATTCTCTTTCCACTCCCCATCTCCCCCTCTTTCTCCTTTTTTTCAAGGGTCTCCCCTTCTACCCAGCATTTCTCATCCCTTTTTCTCTCTCATCAATCATTCCCCCCTCCTCTCTCTCTCTCTCTCTCTCTAGAAGCATTTCTCTTCCCTCCTCTCTCATCTAGCAAACCCCCCTCTTTCTCTTTGCAGGATCTCCCCCGCCCTCTCTCTCTATTTAAAGGAACTCCCTCATCCATACAATCCATTTGTGTGTGTGCTTTTTCCATCTCTCTCTTGTTTCACACCATCCCACAAGCTACCCTCTCTCTTCATCTCACATCATCATCCCTCAACTCTCTCTCTCTCTCTCTTCATGAGTTTCTTAGATCTTGTGGAGGCCAGGTTGCCTCCAGGATTCAGGTTTCATCCAAGAGATGATGAACTGGTCATGGATTATCTTTGGAAGAAGATTGCCTCCTGTCCCTCAAACTCCCCCTCAATGATCGAGCTTGATTTGAACAAATGTGAGCCTTGGGATCTTCCAGGTCAATTCACACTAAGTAACCTTTCACTTTTTCTCTTTTCTTTTCACTTCTTAAGGGTAAAATAGTAATTTTTCAGTGCCCTCCTTGGGAACTTTCTTCTTTATTATTTTAATTTATCTCAATTCCAAGTAAAATTGCTCATTTTTTATTTGAGATTTAAGATTTTTGTTGGAAAAATTAAAAAAATTTCTCTCTCTTCGTGCTCTTAATTATTTTTTGTTGTGCCTACCCCACAATTCTTTCTCATAACTACCCTCTTGGGAATTAGTCTTCCTTTTAATGCTTTTTCTAGTGTTCAAATGATAATACTCACATTAAAATATGATAACACGCCCTCAATCCCTTACAATAAAAAATGACAATCCCCCCTCTCTATCTCATCCCACCCCTCCCCACCACAAATAATATAAAATAAAAAAAATCACTTGTTATCCTTAGTTTCTTTCAAATGGCTTGAGCCCCCAATAGAAATTAGTACTCTTAATGTAAACCTCACACCTTCTTTGAAGATCTTCACCGATAACAATCCTTTTCACCCTAGATCATTCACAATAAAAAAAGCTTTAAACATAGTGTTTTTTAAAAGATTAACCAGAAAAAGGTCTTAGGATCTTTAGTATGGGAATCATGCTCCAAACAATCTTGAAGATGGCAACATTTGAGAAAGAGACATGCATATTGGTTGTTGTTTTCTGGTGTACCATCTATTTTTCTGTTTAATTTCCATTTTAGTTTTATCGCTAAAGGAGTTCATGGGTTTTTTTTATCAGATATAGCAAAAGTAGGGGGAAAGGAGTATTATTTTTTTAATCTTCGTGATCGAAAGTACGCAACGGGTACGCGGACTAATCGAGCCACGGTCTCAGGTTATTGGAAGGCCACAGGAAAGGATAGACAAGTATTTGATAACCAAACAGGCACTCTTGTTGGTATGAGAAAAACACTGGTATTTTACCAAGGTAGAGCTCCAAATGGAACAAAAACAGATTGGGTTATGCATGAATTTCGACTTGAAGGACCATCATCTTCTTCCTTTAGCTTTCCCCAAATTCCTTTAAAGGTTGGCTCTCAACTCTCTCTTTATATATATATATCTATGTGGAGGAGGAAGGGATGTCATATTCATTAACAAATAACATTTTACAAAGTCTATTGATTGTAGAGAAGTAAAATTATTATCATCCAAATAAACACTAGGAAATACTAAGATTTCATGTTTACTGAAGGTTATTTTTAGGCTATTAGACTAAGTGTTCCGGGACTCAGCCGAATCCACTCGAACTTGACCGAGTTAGGTTGTGTGACAACTCAGGGTATTTGAAAATTTTCAAAGAAAAGAAAAATTGTAAAAAATAAACTTAAGTTGTACAATTTTTTTTTGCATGATTTAGATATATTGGGAAGATATTGGCGATTTTTTTTTTGCCATAATTATAATTTTATAATTTTTTTGGATTTTTTAAAATATCTGAAATTGGCAATTGTTTTTTTTTTTTTTTTTTAAATCCATGTTTTCTCTATGTTTTTTAACCTTGTTTTAACTTTTTAAAGGTGTTTTAGGTTTGAATTTACTTCTAGCACATGCTTTTTTTTTTTTTTTTCAAAATTTTATTAAATTTTTTATATCTTTTTAGGGTTTATTGGCCCTATGCTGGACTCAGTTGAGTAACTTGCGGGAGCGACTTCCTTAGTTGAAGAGCATTTCCATACACTAATTAACCTTATTTTTCATTGTATCGTCTTTTGGAAATTTCATTCATCAATGCAGCGATGATCATCATAGTCTGATCGATAATGAACAAATGGAAATGTCATCGAATTACAAGCTCAAGAATTGGAAAAGTATATGGTAAAATTATTTATTTTTTATAAAAGAAAGCCATAATCATCGTCGGCTGCTAGATGTGAAATCAATGAGAGGGGTTCAATTGAATGCTCTCATATCCAAATAATCTTTTTCTCAAACTTTGTGATATACCCTAGCTATCTGATTGCACATTTCATGGTCAAAAGAAATTGTAAATTTCTTGTAACAAAATTAAATAGTTTAACATTGTACTAAAAGTTTTCATAATCCATACCATGTTCTCAGCATGCAAACTTTTTAAAAATTCCTAGGTTCTATACTAATAAAGAAAGAAATGAAAGCCTTTCCTTTTGCAACTTAAAGAATAAGAAACCTTGTAGTTAAGACTTTGTAACTAGGAATTTTATTGCCTTTTCTTGAACATTAGCTAGGAATTTTTATGCCTTAATATAGAAAACGCCAGGTCGGCATGGAATCGTTATGTCCGATTTGGGAATCGGTCACCTCATGCCAATTCTATCAAAATATAAGAAATCATCTAGGTCTTGAAGAGAACCGACGATTTGCTATAGTAAAACGCGATCCGGACCATTGATTCACCAATCTAAACCGGTTGTTTGCATTGCCCAATCTAGGTCACCAATCTGTTTTTTAAACCATTGCCGTAGAGTATAAGGCACCATTGCAACTATTCATTGCCCATTCATCTAAAAAAACTGGATCACTCACTCGCTTCCTCTCTCCCTCACACACACACACTAACTTCATTTTTGCTTGGTTTCTCCAGGAAGATTGGGTGCTATGTAGGGTGTTCTACAAAAGCAGGGGAGAGGGTGCAACATCTAACACAGAACATGATGAATTTCAAACAATGGTTGGCACCAACCTCATTTCTGGCCAAACTCCTCTAACTTTAGATGAGTTTGGCCACTTGCCCTGCTTCTCCACTCCCTCACAAGACATGAACCATGGATTGTCACATTCTCCCCAAACAGAAGAGAATTTACACACCAAAAGTCTAGAAATGGGTACCTTTAAGAATATTCTCTCTCAACATGGGCAACACTTTTCTAGTGAGAGAAACAGTATAAGAATCCATTGGAGCCATATTAAGAGATTTGGTGGTGACCCAAGGATAGGGTTGCCAAATTTAGGGGAAGAAAACCTAGCTATAAACAGAGCTTCTCCATGTGATGCACGGCCTAGGGATGTTTCTTCACCCCTTAGTGAAGAGAGTTACTTGTCAGAATCAAGTATGCCACCTATGTGGGATAATTTATATTACTAAGTTTTAAAGGTGGTTCAGTATTTCCCTCCATTGTAGATACCAAATTTTTTACAATGTCAAGCTTTGTTACAAAGACATGGATATGTGTGTTTACATTTATATCACATTAAGTTTTAAATTGGTTTTTCAGATATAACACATCCGTTTATTATTTAGTTAGAAAGGGAGTTGGAATTTGAGGTGATCTATTATTTAGTTAGAAAGGGAGTTGGAATTTAAGGTGATTCTTGCAGTACTTTACTTTTATTGCGAAATTTCAACCAAAAAAGTTAACAGAAGGTGTCTAAATTTCTAAAATACCATATCAGAAACTATAGACGCGCATGTCCGCGATACATAAAAGTGAAGTTGACGACTATTTTTGGAAGAAGATGAAGCGGTATTTACTTATTTGTAAGCTATTTTAATATAAAGATAATTTTGTGTGGTTGTTATAAAAGAATAATGAGAATGGAGATGAATGGGCATGTAATTTTCTTTTTTTTGTTGTTGAATATATACAGGCTTCTTTATTGTTATTATTTTTGATGAGGTTGACATTTTGTATTAAGCCAAGATATTATACTCCGGGGGGAATAGAATGCGTATTTACTTTCTTAGATAAAATCTCACTTAGAAATAATTTTTGGACCTCAAATTTTGGGGTGTAATCTCTTCAACCTATAGATTAACCTCAATAAATAAATAATATCCTAATTATATCCTCTACGCACTTGAGAACAATAATGTTTGAGATTGAATAGAGACCATCAAATTTTTAAATGATGAGATTCAAGTCTTTAAAAAACTCAATTTGCGTGTATGTTGAGAATAAGCATCTAATAATTCTTAAATGGTTCCCAAAATTTCAAATTTAAAAAAATCCTCCAAAATAGTCTTTTAGCCGAGGGTGCAGAAGTAAACAATGCTCCATCGGGAACGTAGTACACGTGCTCTTGTATTAATAGTAGGGGATTTACGTATAGGTTTCCTAGGTCTTTAATATGAGTATATGACCATATGTTTGACACGAAAAACTCATTGAAAATCATTAGAGAAAGGAAATTGAGTAAAATGAGAAGAATTCAACACCAAAAACCGCTAGTTTCGCGCTCTCTCTCTCTTCCTTCTTCTTTCCCTTTTTTTTTTTTTTAAATAAAAAATAAAAATAAAAATCTACGGTAGTCCTCTACATTTTTTTTGAGTAAGGAAAGTGGTAAGTCACTAGGGATGAATCCCTTCCTTTTGGTGAAAATAGAGTCAGAGACCTCACTATAAGGCTTGACAATACTATCGCCAAGGCCACAAGCTACATGCCACATATCGATTAAATGAAGTTTGTATTCCAATCTTTAACGGGAAAGGTTTCTATACTTCTCCTACAGCATAGAAGATTTATGCTTCTCCTACCATCCAGCCGTCCAATTTTACTCACCGTTTGATCTTAGATCAGACGTCTCAAACTATTTTATTTTTATTTTTATTATACAAATTGTATGAATATGAAATTTAGTACGTGTCATCTTCTCATTGGGGCGCACCTATAAAAAATATTAAAAATAATTTTTCGAAAAAATATAATGACCAAAATATCTTTTGAATCTTTCAAGAGTATTTTGGTCATTTTATTTTATTGAAAATATTGTTTTTAACATTTTTCGCTAGTGCAAGTTTAATAGAGGATTGGACGTCTAAAATTTCGTATCATAATAGTTTATAGAAAAAACATTAAAAAAAAAATAGTGTAGAGTGACATTGTGATTAGGGCAATCTTAGCCCTCCATTCAGAATGGATGGTTGGATAAGAGGAAGTATATAAGTTTTATGCCGTAGGGGAAGCATAGAAAGCTTGCCCATCTTTAAATACTCATAATCAATTCCCAGTAATTTGTCCACTTAATGAATCCGGGTCGACCGATTTTTTGGGGTTAAAAATTTTCATCATAGCAAAAATAAAAATGGTAAAAAAATTATTCGGCGGGAGTCGCCCTGTATCATCGATACTAAATTGCCCGATTCTCTAATAGAAAAACAGAAGTCTCTTAAAATCAAATTGGTTCTCAGTTTCGTAAAGGAACTAGGTCTGTACTTACCCAGATAGACAATGTGAGATTACAACCCATTTTAGTTTTCAATGGCTACAATTGAAAAATAAATTTGTTTTAAAATAACTACTCGTCTTATACACCCATGAAAATTTGAGAAATCCAAGACCGCCTTTTCTTATGAAAAACCCTAACTAGATGGGTAGATGGTATTGTGGATAGAACCACCAAACATCAATAATCCTAAAGTTGAGACACATCAAAAACAAAAAATAAAGATTTACGTGGTTTGTGACTACATCTACAGGGTGATGACAATTAATGGTTTCTCTATGCAACGTCCACAAAGTACGAGAAAGTTGTTTATTGAGACAATACGTAGGACTTCATATAATGTCACACACACTAACTAAATTTAATAGAAAATAGTTATATTCCCAAAATATTCATATAGGTCACCAAAACTTTTGGGTTAGGAGCCCTACAAACCCCTTGCAGGTGGACCATTAGTCACCAGCACATAACACTTTTTGTCTCCCATATGCTCCTTTTAGATATCCAAAATTGACATTTTAGTAGGATATCTTAAATTCATCCATTTTTATAGTGCAAATAATTGAATGCGTAAATTAAAGAGATTAAAATTTTAATTAAAAGCAAAATAGTTAAAATAATCAAAGCACTTAAAAAAATCAACAAGATGGTTAAATCAACAATTTCTACCAATTTACCAACAAAATTATTACATTTTAAAACTGGTTTCATTTAGGTAACTCCTCAAAGATTTTGATAAGAGATACAAAAATTGCCTTTGCTCTTGTATATAACACTGAACAAGTGATCACATTCTAGTACGTTGATACATTTAAGCCACTTGAGCCAAATGACTATCTTTTTGTTTAGGTTCTAAGACGAACTTATTTCTTCCTTTAAAAATAAATCTTGTTGCAAGTTTAGAACCCAAAACAACGGCATATGGACCATATACGTTCAAGTTAATTTATCAATTCCCATTTTAGAAAAATCGATGCTATCATTGACTAGGGCAATATTTTCATGTTTCCTAAACAAGTAGCGATATCTATGTAAATAAGAAATTTTTTCTTTTCCAAGAAAAGAGGCTAGGCTTAAATGATTAGCACTACACGATTTGCAACCCTGCTCCTAGGCTCAATTTCTATACAGGGTAGTCCCTCGTCTTGATTTTTAAGGGCTAGAGAGAGAGAGAGAGAGAGAGAGAGAGGGGTGTTGTATATGTGTGACGTAGTGTAGTACGTAACTAACTAACCTAAATTATTTATTTTTACTTTTTCTACTTCTTTCGTTCTTTCTTTCTTCGTTTCGT